TTGAAAGGTGGCTATACAGGACAAATCTTGAGTGCTATAGGAAAGGATGTCAATGACAACATCTACCCTATTTCCTATGCAGTTGTTGAAGTGGAGAATGAAGAAACATGATGTTGGTTTATTGGCCAACTAATTAATTGTTGATTTGGGTCCAGTGGAGCAATATGGATGGGCTTTCATGTTAGATAGACAGAAGGTAATCTTTCTAATACTCTAACTTGTATAATTGATTACATATATTGGATAGAAAATTACTATTAAGGTGGTAAATATATAAACTGGGCAATGTAGATGGTATCTGTATATATTATAAGAAGTTAAGGTGGTATCTGTATATATTATATGTACATGTTTTGAGAAGTTATGGTGTTAATCATAGAAACTGTGTAATGTATTTGTAACTTTAGGTGCGACATATTTGCATATTCTTCCAACGTTATGCTAATACATTCAAGCTTTTAATATTTGTGTAGGGCCTAATTGAAGTTTTGAGGATAGTAGTACCTACTGCTAAGGTTAGATTTTGTTGTATATATATATATATATATATAGGAAGTCTTTTAAAGATGCTATGTGGAGAGCTTGTAAGGCTTCTACGAAAGTTAATTTTGATGAGACAATGAAAATTATCAAGTACATAGATGAGGGTGCTTACAACTATCTTATGGCTGAAGATCCTTCGCATTGGAGTTTGCATGCATTCAAAGAAAGCACCAAGTCAGATTGCTTGTTGAATAATATGTCCAAGTCATTCAACAAAATGATTCTTCAAGTAAGGGATAAGCCTATTCTCAGATGTATGGAGTTCATTAGGAGGATGCTTATGAAGAGGTTCATTCTCAAGCAAAGAGAGCATTGCTAAGATGGAGGGGCTTCTATGCCAAAGACATTTAAAAAAAATTAAATTTCTCAAGCATGGGGTAAGACACTATAAGACTGAATTTGCAGGAAATGACAAATTTAAAGTGAAATATAAAGAAGATGATACATACATAATGAATTTGTGGACAAAAAGATGTGGATGTAACAAATGGCAACTCAGTGGCTTACCTTGCATACATGGAGTTGCAGCTCTGGTTAAAATTGGCATGCATGTTGAAGATTTTGTGCATGAGGCATATACAAAGGAGACTTATATTCTAGCTTATGCCATGAACATCTCACCTCTCCCTCGCATAAAGCAATGGCCCAAGACATGATATCCTGAACCAGAGCCTCCTCAAACAAGAATTATGCCAGGAAGGCCAAAGAAAAGAAGACGAAGAGAGATTGGAGAGCAAGTTGCATCCACACAAAGGGCGAAAAGAAAATATTGCATAGTAGATATAGGAATTTTGGACAAAAGGGGCACAACAAGAAGACTTGCAAAAATCCAACCCAAGTTAAAGCTTCACCTAAGAAAGGGGGTAGGCCAAAAAAGTTATCTCAAGAGGTAAGTCTCTAATTTTTGTGTATTTTCAACCATTTTTATTTCAAAACTTGGACTTTGATAACAATAGATGTCTTCATGATATAGGGTACTAGCTTAGAGAGCCACAACAATCCAACATAGGAGCTCCACATGAAAGTGGTCAGGTGATCAAATATTGTCATGTATCTCATAGACCTCATTCTCACATGATATCTCACATATATTTAATTTTTGTGTATACTCTACAATTTTATTTCAAAACTTGAATTTGACAACAATAGGTATACATCTTCATTGTATATGGTACTAGCCATGAGAGGCCACAAGAATCCAACACAGGAGCTCCTCATGAAATTAGTCAGGTGAATAAATATGTCATGTACTAATATAAATATACCTCTATCTTGATGATACCTTATATTTTTCTTCTTGTCTTAATTGCAGATTCCCTTTATGATAACAACTAATTTCACACAAGCCATTACACCCACACAAGACTACACACCAAGTTACTCACCAACTCCAACTGAAGGAACACCAAATGAGAACATGAGCAAAGTTAGAAATAGGGGTAATGTTTGCATTTCTGTGCCACAAGTGAAAGAGGCAGCACAACAAATTCAACAAGGGAAAAAAATGCAGCAAAGCCTGCATGGAAGCCTTGATTCCTTTTCTTTTATTTGAAAATTTTGGTTATCTCAATGGTTTTGAAAACTTGTGGTGGCATGTGTAAAAATTTAACTTATATTTTGTTACCTATAGGTGATATCTGTAATATACCTGAACTTGAAAGGTGGTTTATGTATTCTTTGTTGACATTTTAGGTGGTAACTATATACTCAGTTTAGGTTGTTTATGCAAAGACTTCAGTTTGTTTATGATCTTCATCACAATGATGCTTATACTTCTACTATTAAGGCAGGTTTGTGAGTTGGTGAGTTATATATTCTTTTATGACTAAGCTATTCTGACCAAAAAAAATTACATGTACCTATACCAAAAGGTTTAGAAGACCTCTGTCCTATCAATTAGTCAATGGACGCTTTTCATTCCTTTTTCTTGTTTCGCATTCTCCCTTTCTCTTTTTGGAAAAAAAAGGAGATTACATGGAAAATCTTTTAGGGAATAAACAAAAGAATACATATTCGAATGGAGGGTACATGTAATTTTAATTCTTTCACTTATTTCTTGAGCAATATCTTGCCTAGTACACAACATTACATACGTAAGACTACCTGCAGCAGAAGCATTTGAAAATTGCTTCTTTCTTTCCAACTTCCTATTTGTATAAGGTGACATTTTCTTAGAAAGAGTGACTCTTGTTAAAAAAAGGAATAAGTCTCTTCGTTGAATGTCAAATTTAAAGAAAGATTCCCAGCGATAAAATAAAACCAGATAGAGAGTGGCTTAACAAAGAATCAGTTTGAAGAGCTCCTTTTGGCTTATGGAAAACTGGTTCGACAAAGAACCAATTTTCGCCAAATAAGGAAAGAGCTCAAAACTAGACCAAGGTTGACTGCAAAACACACGCAATCGCATGTTCAATGTTAATTCTCAGTCCAAGTTAACATAAACCAGCTCATAATGACTGAACCTCATGGGATTAGCCTTGACCCGTTTTTATCCTAAACTAGGCTAAAACAAAACCAGATAAAGAGTGGTTTAACAAAGAATCGGTTTGAAGAGCTCTTTTTGGCCTACGGCAAACTAGACCAAGGTTTAAAGGATGAAAACTAGACCAAGGTTTAACCTGGTCCAGTTTTAAGGTATGGCGAAACACACGTAATCTCATGTTTAATATTAATTCTCAGTCCAAGTTGACATAAACCAGCTCATAATGACTGAATCTTATCAGAATCTGCATAGATACACACAACAACCCAAAGTTTAAGCAAACGCGCAACCTGGACCAACGAAACAAGATCTGAATCACAACTCACCATAAATTTACGGTCACAACTCGAGGATGAAATAAATCGCTCAACAACTACCAAAAGAGATGACCCAAGCCAAGCCAGCCTATCCTTCTTCAAATGTCAGGCTCATATATTTCCCATCGTGAATACACACAGCATGTGCCAAGCTGAATCATTTCCTGTATAAATTTCTGTCGTGTATTATGTTATCTCATTGTACTTGCACCCGTCTCGTTGAAGAGTCCTCAAGCAAAGCCTATACACACGATAATTTCCTTGCACTTGTCTAGAAAATTTTGCGGGATGATGAGTAGGATGAGCCTTATATAGCACAAGGAGATGGTCATTTCAGGTTCAGACATTGGGGTGAGATCACGTCAAAGGCTCAAAGAGTGTAGTCAATATTACCACTATGCTGTTGGTTCTCTATGTGATGACATATAGCTTCTTGATGACTATCAAGGTTGAAGCAAATTGGGTGGCTCAATACTGTTTATAATTTATTTCAGTTCCTGTAAGTTCCACCTCATGAATTAGGTGTTCTTTTCACATTATAATTTTAACTCGTGCCGAAGTATTTCCATCGTGCTCCTTTTAAGTTAATCCTAGATCGACCCCATACCATCACCCAATTGAGAATAGACTTCCTCGTAGCTTCATTGTTGCAGATCGGACCCCATGAGTTAATATTTGACTTTTTCACCCTGGGGAGTTCCGTTTATCGAAAAATTCTCTTTCTGAGGGTAAAAGAGTCAAAAATTTTCACTCGGGTTTCTACCTACAACAATAAACCTACATGGGTCTATTTACAATGGCGATAATAAAGGCGTCTATCCACAATTGGGCTATATACAGTACACAGGCATATTCTAAATTAACCCTTAAAAAATGAACAGCTCCTACATTATATGACTCTCATGTAGGCTAGGTGTTATAAATATTGGACAAATACCAATACAAAGTGCTATACACATTTAAACAGAGAAGAAAAGGTCAATCACATTGAAGCAACTATATATTAGTAGATCCTAATACCTAAATTTATTGTCTGTAGTTGAAGTATGTGGTCCTCAAAAGGGGAGCATCTACAAACCCCAGGACCAAATCCATGGGAATAAAGGTAAAGGCAATAGCTGAAAGTAACCCCATTACCACATCCATGGGATCTTAAAATAAAGGCAATAGCTGAAAGCATTCAGAGAAATCTCCATTTCAGAACGAAGTACAATCTCAATATACAACCAAACCCATACTCAGAAAGGGACTAATCAGTTCAAAAATCACATGCTTCTTCTGTCACATATTGATGCATAGGTCTCTTCTGAAGATATTTCAAGATACCCCTTTTAGGTGCTTCAATCTAAGGTTTATGCAAAGTTCAAGTTTGAAATTATTCCCTTGGGTTCTTCGTGATCAGTGTCAAAATTTGTGCTGACCTCACCCAGAATTAAAGATAGAATGTTACCTAAGAGTTTTTCTCTAATATATCCATGATACTAGTAACAAAGTTACAGGGTTCGGTTCCTGTAATATTTCTCAAAACAAACACGCATTATACGTTTGCAACTAAGACCCGGTTCATGTTCACTGCCAAGGATTCTAAGTGATCAGATGTCCATGATTAAGAGAAGTAAACATTCATAAGACTAAAATCAAATTATTAAGCTATAAAATTAGATAAGAAGAAGAACAGTGTTATTATAATTTCAAGAGTCCACAATTGTTTGATCTATACCACTAAAAAAAATTCCCCTCTAGAATATGCTGCAGTCTACACTAAAACAACTTCACTGCCAAATCCCTGGCTACACGAGTTAATTCTTCAATCTGAACAGGATGAATGCTCTATGTCCTATATGGATTTCAGAAAGAATGAACTGAACTATAACAAAAAAATTGTCATCTCTAATAAAAATGAAATTTGATATTGTTACCTACAGACGAAAAGAATGCTGACTCCAATTGCAATGTGATCTTTCACTGAAGAGCACCATTATTCTCATGCTTTTATTTTCTGCCACTATCTCTGTACATTATTCCGAATTTCTTTCGTTAGACAATCAAATGCAGTCCTCCAACTATCACTCCCATCTCCACTGTTAAATACTGCCTGCAAGATTTTCAATTCATCTGTGTTTGCCTTCTTGAATAATCCCTCTAGCACATTTTGGATGTTATCTACTGAGGTATCGCTGTTTACTTTTGGTTCATCCTTCTCAAATCCAGAAATATTTACACCGAACAACTTGTCAAGTGTTTTCTCCAAGGTTTTTGGCCCTGCAGTGAGAGAAGATTCCTTGGAAACTTCAATGGGAGTATTCTTTGTTTCTATCATTTCGGATGTTAACTGTGTGTTAGACTTTGATGCCCAGTACTCCGTGCAGCAGTGGTAAGGATCGAGGTCCTCAATCACCTGTTTTAACCTCGAGTTAGTATATGTAGAAAGAGGCATAGAGCATTTAAATTTGCAAGTTTTAGTAAATATTAGGTAAATTCCACAAAACCTTCCTATAGTTTATTAATAAAAGAAATCCTCTGAACTTTCAAAATTATTTTACACCCTGAACTATAGGAAATTTTCATAAATGACGTTATTTAAACTACCCTTATTCGACAAGGGTAATGTAGAAGCTCGACAGAGGAAATGTTCAAAAGCTGTCATGGGTAGAGCATGCCAAAGGCTCAAAGAGTGTAGTCAATACCCCCATAGTTCAGGTAGTTAAGTGAGACAAGCTTAGGTGGTTTCTCTAATTTACAAAGTTCAGGAGGTCAAAACCCCCATAGTTCAGGGGGGTTTCTGAAATTTATCCTAAGAAATATCATATGTTCCATCTAAGATGCCTGTAGAAAGGATAATTCTAACTCAACTACCCTGTCCAAACAACTTATGCACCACGACATGCAAGAATATGGGGTCCTTCAACTTGGATTGCCATCAAAGTTGATGAGTCATCATCAAGGACCCCATAATCTTTGGTTTGGGAGGAGTTTGGAAAGTATAGTCTAGTTATTACTACTCTTGTAAAAATATATGTTAAGGCTAAACTGGCGGAAACAAGGGAGACAGACTCGCCTGAACAGTTGATGGACACAAAAGCCCAAACATTTCGAGCCCATTGATGCTCCCTGAAGGTTGCAATTGGAGAAGATCTAGCTTCCCTGGCCTTGATCGTCTAGTGATCTCTTGGTTTAGTCTCACTCTCACCAAATCCCAACACAGTGTAGCAGAAGAGTGTGTGAACGTTTCCTCCTGATTCTCTTCTAGAGTAACCTATAATTTACGAAGATGAAGAGAATAATTAAAACCATATGATATAACAACTATAATTAGAGGAAAATTATCATGAAACTACTATTCAATAAAATTGTATTAAACGGTGTTAAGAGTAAGCCAACCTTAAACATAGGCCCAAGCAATCCAGCATCTAGTATTTCAGAAATGTAATTACTCATCCTTGTAGGATCAAGCACACTGAAGAACTGGACCCGACTTTTGAAACCTACAGCCCAATTATAATCAACTAAGTACCTTTTTTCTCAACATGTTTACTTAATCAGGAAACATAGAGAATAAAGAGAAACCATAAGGTACCTTTAGGAAAGATGGCTTCCCTACTGCACCACTGCTTCCCAAACTTTACAGTTCCAAAGTGAAGAATCTCGACACAGAACTGTAATTTATTTTTAACAGTTCTAGTCTCTGGACTAACTGGGTTTGATAAAAGAAACCTGAAACTTCCTTGAACATCTGAGGCTGTGGAAGGACTTGCCTGAAGTTGACGAAGTTCAACACCGAACAACTTTGCACTAGACTTACGAATATGTTGAGCACTTTGAGAACGTGATGCTTCGAAACCATTAGAGTTAGCTCCTTCTGAGAAATGATTTATGGAAACAGAAGATCCACACTCTGGACTTGATTTCATTGGGGTATGAGTCATTCCTGTTGACTCATGTTCAATCCCATTGATATTCAGAATAGCAGACCTGGAGTCTGTGAACAGTCCTGTATTCAGATCAATCTGCTCCGAATCTATTACATTACTCTTGCTCAGCTCAAGATCAGTGTTTTCATGTTGTTGTTTGTCCAAGAAATCATTGGAATTTGATGGATATTTACTCTCTAACGCTCCTACATCTTCAAATACTTTAACATCTGAGGGCAGAACCAAACCCAAGATCTCTGAACCCCAAATTTTCACAGAACCTAAGTCCCCTTGCAGAGCCCTCACAAGAGTACTAAGTTCATCAATACTATAGCGAAATAGGAAAAATCTTTGTGTAGGCTCACAATTGCAGAAATCCTTAGAATGGGTTAGGCACGAGAAACGGTTAGGAGAACACTCGCAGCCTGCAGCAGATAGGTGAAGGTCATAGAAACAGGAATAACATTCTCTCTCATTAACCGAATCAAAATTTTTATCCATCTTCCTTGCTTGTGAAAGAGAAGAAAGGCACCCTCTTCTTCTCTTTTCCATCACAACTCTTTCCTGAAAGATCATGCATTAACAAGCAATAAATAATTGAGACCAACGTGAATCATTACAGCTAATCTTAAATATAGGAAATGGTATGCTCTATCTGTCAAAAAATATATGCATTTATCACTAAATCAGATTCCAAATAGATTGAGTAAAATGTTTAAGTCAGAGGAGGTGACAAAGATGGTATCGGCATGTATTAGTTGTTTGAAGAAAGGAATTCCAAAAAAAAGACAAAGACTAAGGGAAGACCTAATAGAATTGGAAGTTACAGCAAGAGTGAACCGTTAAGAATTTTGTGCCTATGGAAGTCCAGCATCACACAGAACATAATGTCTACTAAAGAACGTCATTGAACATGTTTAGACAGTACTAGTTATGAGTATGGATCCTATCATCTGATAGCCACAAGGGAGCAGTGCAATGACCAAACTGCCCCCTGTTTGTTATAGTCTGTGGCTAGAACCTCTTGCACCCTAAGGGAGATTCTGATAGGATCCTTACTCCTAGTTAATTATCTACCGTATAAATCCCTAACTTTGACTAGATCACATTTTAGCCCAACATAAACTTGATGGGTTTAAAAAGGTATGTCAATCAGTGCAACACTAATTTCCATAATAGCCTCACGAAGTATATATATAATCATAATAAGTCAAAAATTCTGGAACATAAATTAATAACCTAGGGATAATTACCTTAATTGCACAAGTAAGCACTCCATCTTCACAGATACTTTGCCATCTTAAGTTATCAGGATTGTTCTTTCCAAGCAATTTGATCTCCCAAAGTGCTCTCACAGCTTCTCCTGCAGCACCTAGTAATAATTTGTCATGGGACATAGATGTCTTGCGCCGTTGTTCACTATAAAGCTCAACAGCACATTGCCCGTGAGGCAACCAGTCCATGGGAGCAACATTAACAGCCTCGGCACAATTGAAGCCACAGTTGAAACCAGAATGGTATGCTCTTGGGAAGGTGAGAACAAACTCTCCAGAATTTTGAGTGGCGCGATAAACCGGAACCCCCTCAGATTTTAGAACTGATGGAGACAACTGTGTGACCTGATTTTATGACAGATATAAAGTTGAGTCAGGAAAAAGATCGTGAGATGATTTAGTGCAACTGCTAGAAATTCGATCATGATCATGTATTAAATTATCGATTTATAAAGTATAACTTAAGGAGATTTTGTCACAACTGCAGGAAAGTTGATCAAGATAATTTATCATCTTATAAATCCTGCTCATAATACTTAAAGAAAGCTATACCCAAGAACACTGGAGTTAAGCACACTACAGTACACAATAAAGATTATGTCGTATAAAAAACATTACACAGAAATAGTTAGATTTGGTCTCAACAGAAAAGACTGCAAATGGTACATTTTTTAAGAATAGGATCACTGACATGTTATTCTTTAAATAAGGGTCCAAACTTTTTTTAGTGTGCTGGAGCGAAAACTAGGGTTTAAAAATTTGAAAGTTTTATTTATAATTAATCCATCTCATAGATATACAGGAAAATGACACATTGAATTTTTTCAAAGTTAGTAATAAAAATGATGAAAATTAAATTCAACAACGAAATGAGATTCCAGAGAAACTGGCTGTTTGAAGGAGTTCCTTGATTACCACTTTTAGTCAATTGGTAACATATCATCGAAGCTTATAGTTCTAAGAAAAAGTACTCACTAGCTGACTATCCAACAAGTTATGCAGGTATATGCAGCCTACTAGGCCATGCAAATGACCGTCTAAAAAGTCCATTATCATGAATAAAGAAAAAAGAACCGATTTAACAAGGATGCACAGATAACTTATCTACAAATAAGATAACTTTCTGTCCTTAAGAAATAAATAAGTTGGCTATCAAATGGTGATGAAATTCTCAGTTTCCAAGGTTTGGGATAATCAAAAGTTATTACGTCTAGATCAAGATCTTTTATCTCAATCCAAGGAGTAACTTTTCAAATTGAGTTCAAGTTTTATCTTCTAGTTTGCAACATCTCGATGCAAATAGTAACATTCACTACAGCTAATGTAAACCTTCTGCTCTTGTAATTTTCTGTATGATAAATTCTTATTCTAATTAGCTATTCACAACATTGGCTATTGAAAATTGTTAAGCAATATTATAGATATCTATTAGATTAGGAATAATATGGCTACTTTGTAGAAGCTATGTACTTGAACCAGATACTTAAATACTTGGATACTTAGCAGCGAGGGATACTACTTTTCTGCTCTATCCTAAAATTGGAAGACATTATGTATCCTAAATTTTTGTGTGCACTACAGATGCATCAAAGATTAAGTTAAAAATATAATGCATGACTGATCTATTCAAAATGCAACTTATTTGTATTTATTTATGTTATTGACAATTCAAATACCAATCAGGTATAGAATTTTCCCTTTGTTTTTTAGTAAAAGGTGCAAACCCAACCTGTTCCCATTAAGAGGACAGAATGAGATATGAAAGGTCTAATACAAGCATATCAGCATGCACAATGATGATAACCTAGATCAAATACTATAATTGAGGGTTTAAAAACATTCATCAAACTTTATCAAAATTACTCAAAATATCAGTCTTTATGCAGATAGTAAACCTTGAGAGCATTTACTAAAAGAAAAGGATAGGTCCGGTACATTTTCAAGGAAACAGATGCAATAGAAACCAATAATCAACTTACCAGTTCATGTAGTAAACCAGGTTGTTCTTCAAACAGTTCTGGTAAATGCTTTTTCATGGCATCCTCCAGTTTAATAGCATCGCTGCCAGGAACTCCATACCATATTTTTTGATCGCCCCAGTGCATGTAGTTTAGTGAATAAAGATGGTGATCTTCCACATGCTATTGAACACATGTAAAAGTAATATAAGAAATTGTATCAAAACAGAACATAATAAAGAAAACATGAAGATTATAAATGATCTTGAAAGTAAATTTATTACATGCTAATTATGATATGGTTTGGAAGAAAATTTATTAAACGCGGATTATGATACAATTTTGAAACAAATTGATCAATCTGAATGCATATACTCATGCTAAGTTTGATAAAGAAATCATTCTAAAGTTCCTATCAATATATATATATATATTTTAATGTTTTTACTTTCCAGCAACCAACATAGGTCGGTGTGACACTCTAGCCAAGTTTTTTCTTTTAAATCTCAAGGATGTTCTAACAAAGAGGATCAAAGAGGATCAAAGAGTTTCTACACCCTAGCCAAGTTGTTTCTTTTAAATCTCAAGGCTGTTCTGCCAAAGAGGATGAAAGAGTTTATAAAAGTATGGGTTAGTTTTTTTTCTTTTTCTTCTATTTTTTGGTGGAGGGAGGGGGGATGGGGGTTCAGCCTAATAAACTTACCCAACAAAATGAAGAAAAGCACATCCCTATATACAGCAATGGCACTAGAACTCCAGAGATATCTTCGCTCTCAAAAGCAAGAACAGAACCAGGAAGCCGAGGAAAATTATTTAAATTCCAGCCTGCACGCACATAAGGGTCTACATTACTCAAGGATGAGGATGGCACTTTGGGGAAGCCACTACCAAAAACTCCAGTTTCCAGATCAGCACCATAAAGTACCTATTAATGAAAAACTTTGAAAAATTAGTATATGATATTAAGACATAGAATTGCCCCCATCGAGTCACTGAATTATTACCTCAACTTCTTCAGTTGGCTTCTCAACTATCCGCCAATATTCCCCTTCAATTTCCTCTACTGAAGGCTGCCAACCATTTCCATTTTCGCAGTTACATGAATCTAGGCTTTCACTACCTTGTTTTATACCAAAATATCTCTCCTTAAAACCCTCAGCATATTTAGTGAAGGCTTCGAGCGTGAAGTCTGACCCAGATTGAAAACCGAATTTTTCATCCGTATCGGAGGCAGCACAGTCATTGGCTTCTGAAGTATTAGAGCCATTGCGTCTGCGAGTCATTCCAAACCTTAACCGCTTCCTTCTTTTCTTTTTCCTTTGACAACGGTTTCGAGACTTTTTCCTCATTGGTTCTCTATTCTGAAGCTTGTCAACTTGTTGAACCCGAGTTGCAAACTTAGAATGCCTCCAAATGCTGTTCTCTTTTAGTGGGCATGGAGGCTTCCAAGAGGCTGGAGGAACAATGCGACATATACCATAATTTTCTGCTTCATGGCGTATTCTAGCAATGTAACCAAGTGTATCTTTGAATTCCTAAAGGAAATTACAAAATGTCTGCTTCATGGCGTATTCTAGCAATGTAACCAAGTGTATCTTTGAATTCCTAAAGGAAATTACAAAATGAAATGAGACATTTGACAGCAAAAGATGTAACCAAGTGTATCTTTGAATTCCTAAAGGAAATTACAAAATGAAATGAGACATTTGACAGCAAAAGAAAAGGATATGCCAAGATTTTGTTAAAATAATTTATATTTAAAGAAGTAAACTAAGATTAGGAATAGAGAGATTGAAAGTAACGCTAGAGAATACCTCCTCGCTTGGATAAAACACAGGAGCTTCTTCAATAATAGGTCTACATGCCTCTTCTGGACACCATCTAGCAGTCACCTATTTCCAAATCCAAGTAAGATAGACTGGTTAAGTCTCAACAGTGGAAATTAAGATAATAACAATAAATATATATAATATAAAAAGCATGAATTAAAGAACCTTTTGGTAAGCAGATCTTCTTAAGCTTCCAGAAGTATCACTGTTATGTTGGGATTTTTTACAAAAGAGATCCTGCAAAACAGAAAATCAACATCAAGAGATCTCATAACTAATATCGGAATCATCAGTATAATTGCTTAACAGGGCAACACAGAAAGAAAAAGAAACTAACACATAGCAAACAATGTACATACTATAGCTTTAATACCCAAGCTATCAATTGGTGTTCAAGGTAAAAGTGAAACATGACAATAATGTGTGGAAAAGGTCTACTATTAGTTAAAAAAGAAGCAGAAATTTATGGACAAATATGAACCTTGATAGGTTTATCAGAATCAGATTCCTCATCTGAACTGTGTACACAATGTTCTATCCCATCCCTTCTTCTGAGGGAGCGTTTAGCCTTCACTTCATCGCATTCAGCATTCATTTGTATTGTCGGTGTCACAGTAGCTTCCATGAAATGACCGGAACTTGATACTGCACCTTCTGGATCCAACCTGAAGTCAGTAGGCTTCTGAATTGAAATGTCTGAGCGGTTTGATATGTAATCCATCTCTGTTAATTATTATCTGAGGAGAGGGAAAAAACAATATTCTTGCATGAGAAGAGATTGAAGATAAGAGAAAAGAAAGATAAGAACTAAAAGAAGAAAGACTACTTATGCAACTGATAAGAACTCAAAAGCCACAAGAAGATCATGTTACAACTGATAAACACACTTCACACAAATTTCTGGAAAATGCTTGTAATCCAGGAAAATGAGGGTGGTCAATTTGTTTCAGAACTATCAGAGAGAGGGTTGTGAAAAAAAAATCATATCATCAGGCAGATTATGCTGGTACAGGTGTTTAATAAAATGAATGATGAGGCATCGACATTATGCTCTTCATCCAGTTTATGTTACAACTTGAAAGAACAAGGATGTAGATGGTGCACGATCCTAAAGAAATATGACGAGAAAAAGATGTGATATGTTACTTCCCCTTCAGTGATACTCTTTTTCTTTCAGAAAACAGCAGAAAATCACCAAAAATAAAAGGTATGATTCCAGAAGGTTAGGGGTGGGGGAGCAAGAGGGGCCCCAGTTACGGACAAACCTATGCATAGTTATTGGTTAGGCGCCATGAAAAGGATTATTGGCTCTAGTAGTTCCAAGAAATTCACATAATCCACCACTAGAAGTGTGTGAACTGAACATAATTTCATTTATGTTCTAATAACTGTAGAAATTTGCTTTATTGGACAGCAAGCTATTGCAGATTTACAGTTACTTAATAACTTCTCCAAAATCCTTGCGACGAATCATATTATAAATAATACACTGGTCAGTCTTTCTCTTTTCTTCAATATATGTTTTCACAAAGTCTCCCATATCTCATAACACACGAATAATCAAACATAATCATAGATCCAGAGTCGTCATCCAGATCTCATTTAGTACTAGTACATGACAATTTATCAAACTTTATGATATATTTGACTTACATCACATCTCTTTCTTTTTAAACCAACAAAAGACAAGATCATGCTTTATCTATGAAGCGGTCATATTTTTATAAATCTCCAAGTTGCTAACCAAATTTTCTAAATCTCCAAGATTACCTGCAACCCCACTCCCTAAGGACCAGCTCCCTTATTGTATTCTATTTATAAGACCAACTAGGATATAGATTTCCAAAATAATGACAAAGAACAATAAGCCTGTAAATTCTAAGGTGTTTTATTGGTTTCCTCAAGAAAGAGGTTTTTTATGGTTACAAGGAACAAATACAAATTTCAATCACACCAGGACATATCAAAACCCACATTGTATCAGCAAATTTGTGTCTCACAACACATGCAATAGGTTTTCATAAAGATCAGTACTCCTGCACATCTTTATACCTATTCCGATTGATAGATAACATCAGCATCATACGACATGAAACTAAGACCATAAATTGACAGCCTATATTAGTGAAAACTACCATAAACAAGAAACCCTTCCTCAGATCTGAAACTCATAGGAAACCCATGCATAAATCAAAATCAGAAGAATCATATAAGCATCTAATTAGATAAAAATTAAACATCATATCAATATTCAAAGAATAAGCATTGCATACATGAGATCTAATTCATAGAGAGAAGGATAAAATCCCCCCTTTTAATCAGTAGAAGAAATCAACAATCACCAAAGGAAACCCTAAGGCTGATCTTTCCAAACCCAACCCAATACCAACAGAGGGATTAGGAAACTCTAATAGAATTCATCAAAGATCCAAATACCTACCCAAAATTGATCCATATATCAAAACCTAAACGCATATTTCATCACAACCAATTAATTACCTATCAGATCAATACAAATTATGGCAAACTGACGTGAATCCAGACACATAAAACTATAAATTTACCCAAAAGCAATCTCAAGAAAGCTGCTCAAGCCACACAACCATATTTCTCATCACAAACATGTGATATGGAGAGTAAAATAAACGTGTACATGCCCCCAAATTGTTAAAAATCCAATCTTGCAAACAATATTATTACAAAAACAAAGCTTTTAATAATAATAAGCTAATAAAGCAAGTAAAAGGACAGAGCAATTTTACCCTTTTTCATAGAATTCATTTTAATAATAATAAGCTAATAAAGCAAGTAAAAGGACAGAGCAATTTTACCCTTTTTCATAGAATTCAGGGCTGTGAATGTTGCAATGCCCAGAAAAGATTCATTAAAAAGAATGACCAATCCAATTCAATTGAAGCAATCAATCCCAAAATAATTTCTCTACTGATTTTCTTGTATTTATTTTGTATTTGAAATGTAATTTTAACTTAAATAAGGTAAAGGCAAAAAAGACGGGCCAACCCACGACCTATAAGCAAGTTATCTGAAACCCGAATCCAACGAGGATGAGGAAAAGAGAGATGATTTGCTTCGAAATACAGTTATCAGCCCCTGATAATCGCAATATTTACACAAAATGCCACTTTCCAGTTTCTTGGGGTTGGATGTTATAACCGCCTCCTAGCTGAACTAGCATTTTGTAATCTAGGTAAATATAATTTGTACATATGATGTAACCATTTTTGTAAACCGCTTAATGATAAATTTGAAAATATGCACGAAGTTAATCATCATCAAAGGAAAAAGAAAAAGGGAGGGATGAAAATAGGCATGAATTAATTTTTTGGGCGAATTTTCGAAAAAATCCAATCTTGCAAACAATATTATTACAAAAACAAAGCTTTTAATAATAATAAGCTAATAAAGCAAGTAAAAGGACAGAGCAATTTTACCCTTTTTCATAGAATTCATTTTAATAATAATAAGCTAATAAAGCAAGTAAAAGGACAGAGCAATTTTACCCTTTTTCATAGAATTCACGGCTGTGAATGTTGCAATGTCCAGAAAAGATTCATTAAAAAGAATGACCAATCCAATTCAATTGAAGCAATCAATCCCAAAATAATTTCTCTACTGATTTTCTTGTATTTATTTTGTATTTGAAATGTAATTTTAACTTAAATAAGGTAAAGGCAAAAAAGACGGGCCAACCCATGACCTATAAGCAAGTTATCGGAAACCCGAATCCAACGAGGATGAGGAAAAGAGAGATGATTTGCTTCAAAATACAGTTATCGGCCCCTGATAATCGCAATATTTACACAAAATGCCACTTTCCAGTTTCTTGGGGTTGGATGTTATAACCGCCTCCTAGCTGAACTAGCATTTTGTAATCTAGGTAAATATAATTTGTACATTTGATGTAACCATTTTTGTAAACCGCTTAATGATAAATTTGAAAATATGCACAAAGTTAATCATCATCAAAGGAAAAAAAAGTGAGGGATGAAAATAGGCATGAATTAATTTTTTGGGAGAATTTTTGAAAAAATCACATTAAGCTTCAGTGTTTCTCAAATAACCCCTTTTTAATTTTTAAAATGTCATAGAGCCCAATTAATTTTACTCACCCTAATTTTCTCATTCGCTTAAAATCTGCATTGATTAAAAAAATAGATCACTATTTTCTTATAAGTTATGATTAATTATGGAAGATTTTAATTTATCTTATTGAGCGGAAAATTAAAAGTACAATCTATGGAACATGGTAAGTGTTATTTTTGGAATTGCTTATAATTCCCTATCATCATCCATTAAATATGTCACGCCCCGGGCCCGCGGGCCTGTTGGCGTGTGTCAGTCATAGGACCCACCGAGTGTAACACACTGTTTGGCTTAAACCACTGCCAAAATTGACTAGCCGATGTTACACTTGAGTTTTTAGCTTTCACTATATAAACCCTTTAATTTCTCATTCTCCCACCGATGTGGGACTAATTTTTTTTGCAAATGTCGTTGTCAGTGGGATGTCATATTTACCCCATCTTACAAAGACGACGTCCTCATCGCAGCATGACAATTAGCACATCCCAGTATCACCGTCAGGAGATGTGGACTCTAGAGGTGGTTCCTACGGGCTCTAGAGGTGGCTCTCACCACATGACACGGTGTAGCACTTAGCCCCATATAGCACTTAGTTCCACACTTCCAGCTGGTAACTACTCTGATACTATTTGTCACGCTCCGGGCCCACTGGCCCGTTGGCGCGTGCCAGCCATAGGACCCATCGAGTATAACGTACTGTTTGGCTCAAACCAGTGTTTTAAATGTCGGTCGACATTGTCAGAATTAGGGTTCGAACGACACGAATCGGGCAATTTTATGTCGCATGTCATTTTTCAGGAGGAAATCGGATATGTCGACGATATATCGGGCATATCGACCAACTTTTCAGCTTTGAAAAATTGGCCGATATGCTCTATTATCGGTTTAAAACGTTTTTCACTTATTGGGTTTGGGTTTAGGTTTAAAAACCCAAACTCATATGACCTGTTCTGATGTTAAGGGTCTATTTTTGAACCCGATAGACAGAAACGAACCCGTTCAAAAGAAAAAACAAAAAAAAACCTAGGGCTACGACTGGGAACCCATCAGCCGCCTTCGTCTTCTTCGTCTTGTGTTCGTTCTCCTCACATCGTTGGCTTCTCCTCTCTTTCCTCCCTGCGACATCGAAGTCCATCATCTCCGGTGTCGCCTTCTCCTCTCTTTCTTCCCTGCGTGAAGTCGAACCTGCGTGAAGTCGAAGTTGCAGCTTTCCTTAGCTTCTTCAGCCGTCAGGTATGATAGTCCCTTTCTCATCGTCTGACTCTCTCTCTCTCTCTCTCTCTCTCTCTCTTCTTCTTCAGAACTTTTAGATTTAGAAGATTTTCACATCATCTGAATTTTAGTGTTGATTTCATATAGTTTATATTATTCAATGTCTTAATTTACTATATCCCCTTTTTTTACTATTTTTTGTTACATTACATTATATTATTATTCAAATAGCTCCATGCTTTTTGTTGATGTAAATTATTCATTTGTAGAATTCAATGTTTGGCAACATGTTTTGGGAAGCATGCTGGAAAAACAAGACATCTGGCTGATTTCTCGTAATGATCCTTGTTTATCATTTAATAATAATCCCTGGTTTCTCGTAATAATCCATGTTTATCATCTAATGATATAAACATGTAATACTCAAAGAGTTTCTGCTTTTCTTCTTCATGTGACAGTCTAGTAGCAACTCTGTGGATAATCACAGAGGGAAGAAAATTCTAGTTTTATCTGTTTGGGGGTGATGAGTCTTTATTTTTTATAGAATTTATAAAGTATGTTGAGTAAGAGGACTTTGCAGATTTAGTTTTTTATATGTTTAGTCTATAGAATTTATAAAGTATGCTTATATTGAATTTAGAAATGTTTAGATTATATTTAGGACATGATATTATACATATGTGCACCACCTGATATGACAATCCGATATTTAGTCCATGTCCCCCGATATATCCCCGATTTTCGCTATTCGACATGGATTTTAGTTGTCCGACATGGACCCGATATTCGATATTTAAAATCTTGGCTCAAATCACTGCCAAAATCGATTAGCCGATGTTACACCTGAGTCTTTAGCTTTCACTATATAAACCTTTTAATTTCTCATTCTCTCACCGATGTGGGACTAAATTTTTTTACAATTGTCGCTGTCAGTGGGATGTCACAAAATAATTATAAGCTTGTATTAAAAGTAGTGGTCATTGCCATTTTTTATTTAAATAGTGGTCTTTCCACTACTTTTTGATAGTAGAAATGATCTAAATTCAAATTTCACTGGCAAAAAAAAAAAATACTCTGCTTAGTTCTATTTGCCCATGTGAAAATCGTGGGTAATATTGTTAGGGTTTTTTTTTTTTTGAAACTTAAAGGCTGTTTTGTGACAATTTAAAAGTTAAAGGGATTATCTACGAAGCACCCAAATTTAAGGAGGGTTTTGTGATATTTACATTTAAATTTTCAGTATGAATGTTTTTTATTACTCCTTCATAATAAACATTTTTTTGGGGATAGAGTTGATAAGAACTTTTTTAAATAACAATTTTAAAGTTAATAAAGGACAGTGTTCTAGTTTATACTATATGTTACTCAATATACACACACACAATTACAGGTTTCTTCTTTTTTCTCTTGGAAAAAATATATCCAATAATTTCCCAACTGTTGTTGCTATTGATAAATGGACAAGGAGTTGAAACAACACTATATCAGCATACTATATATTGATCATGTGCATATCTTTTACGTTTTAATTACATTCCTATATAAAACAGAGTATGTATAGAGTATGTATGGGAAAAAGAACCTTGAAACTTTACAAAAACAAATTGCCATGTATGACGCCACACTGAATCAATGGACTAAATTACCGAAACAAGCGGCCAGCAAAGCAAAACGAGCGAACCAATCTATGGGCCGAAGAAACAGAAATTTAGGCTATAAGATCACGGAGCAGTGATGGGATCCACAAAACGACCGGTTTACCATTCGTGTTGATAAATTCTAATCATGTTAATTAAGAATCTTAAATCTAATTTACATGTGTATAATTTCACCTTGTGCCTTATTAAGGCAATACGACAGTTGCGTGGCGCTTTAGGAAAAGAGCAAACGGACGGTCGAGATCGGAGGTGAAAAAGTTAAGATAACCAAGTCAATAGTAATCCTATGAGAACACTGTTCGCATAGAGAATATCTTCCAAAAAGATTTTGCATATCCAGGAGAAGGACAAAACACTATAAAAAGGGGTGATTTGTATTATTTACTATGCGGGAGGTTCTGAGCTGCAACTGGTCAGGTTTTGACGGGCTATAAAATTTTAAATATTGGTTTAAGATAAAAAATATATAACTATTTTGTACATTCACGTTTGGGCTAATTTATTTGTGTAGATTTTATTAGTTGTTAACTTAACTCTAAATTAACTAAGCTACATTGATCTTGCTAGCTTTTTCCTAATGTCCCTTAGATAGTTACACTTATATTTAATACTAGCAACATATTACGATAGTTATTTCTCATTATAATTAATTAATGGGGTAAATTACACTAAACCGTTATGAATTTTTTTAGCCTCTATGAACTTTCAAAATCACACTAAAGCCTTAATAATTTTTCTGTTTCAAAGAAAACATATAATAACTTCCTAATTTTTGCAGATAACTCCTATAAAATAGAACCATAAAATGGCTCCCCTATAATATGCACTCGTCACTGCTCAGTATCTGACACCAAAAACAATAATAATCAAAAAGTAAGGGGAGAAAAAACACAGCCACATTTCATGCCATAATGTTGATTTGTGAAAACTAATATATCCAGTCTTATCACAACAAGCTTCTCGCACAGAACCACAACCATCAAGGTTTGTTCTAATCAACCGGAGAGTGGCTTCATTTCCTACAAAAAAAAGTTTGTGCAACTCCTTGTTTCTTAAAAATCAAGCATTGCCATCAAGTTCGTGTAACGCCTTGTTTCTTAAAAATCAAGCATTGCCATTAGGTGCAGCCTATCATTTCTAGCGTGAGTATATGTGCCTGTATGACACTTCTTGTTGTCGTTATTGCCTTGCATTTTTTAGAAATTCACTTCTGTCATCATTACAGTGCAAGTTTCCAATTATATTTTTAAAATTGAAACAGTTATCCGATTTCAGATTTTGAGATGTGAAATTGTAGGGTGGGAAACTATCCATTGATTCCTGTTCCATGAGAAGTTGATGCAATACGGAGAGAAGAACTCTTGTATTAGTACACTAATCCTCAAACAATCCTACTTTGGCCTGATCCAGAGGCAGACAACTATCCAGTCAACATGGACCACTGTATAGTTTCTCGAGTGCATTATTTCCAGCAATGACCTACTTCCTAAGAGATGGATTACAGAAAAAGAAACTGCTTCATTTTACTGCACACTTCTGCGTTCAAATAAGCTGCGTTCAAATAAGCGGAATTTCAAAATGATGAAGAAACTGTATCTGCAGCTTTGGTTTTTTGACTGCTTGACAACTAACGAAGGCAACAAATAACATATCTGTTTTCTGCTTCATTTTAACAATCAGTGTTCAGTGCCTTCACTTCATTGTGAAATATAGTTTCGGCTTGAGTTATGTCCTACATCAAAAAAGTTATGTTCCACAAACTCGATATTTTCACGTGCCTCGTCAAATTTGGGAGGAAACTACAGCCTTTTTGTATTGAAATGAGGGTTTTTTTTTCAGCCTCATAACTTATTTGTCTGTCTTAACATTCTCTTCTAATGTTTCCAGAACCTTGTCCAAATGGAGAAAGAAATGACAGACTAAAAGGTCCTTGAATACATTTTTAGGTACAGAGGATCTTGTTGAGTGCAGAGAGGCTATAGAAGTAGGAATGATTCAGTGAAAGAGTAAGAAGAACTAACATGAAAAGATTCTTTTTAGAAAATTGAAACTTTTTTCAGTCCCCGCCCCCGCCAAACTAAGTTAATATGGTTCATATCATCAGCATCGCCACATCAGCACCACCTCAATGTAGTGTAGTAGTGTAGAAATTGTCGTCTGGTTATCATTTTCCATTCAATTATGTTATATCATTTGTGCATCCTTAGAGTGGTTTAGTAGTGCAGATTTATAGTCTAGTTGTCATCATTGTTGTATCATTTATGCCAGCACTGCAGCTGTGACGAAAACAAACTTTTGAATGCTTGCTTTTAATTGGTGATATTTTTTTGTGACATCCAAAGGCAACACCAGCAAAGGCTATCATAGCCCTTAAAACAAGTGTTGAGATTTATAAATGCCAGTGTCAAGCCTAACTACAATATAGATGTTTTTCACAAGCGTGATGCTAATACAAGGAAATGTTTTATCAGAAAATATTTCTCTTAAGCCCATATTCAAATGTCCACATGGTTGGGTTTCCAATCGCTCCTATTCCTGTCCTTGTATGTGATGAGAAACATTATTCTTCTCATAAGAACACTTGAATATGACTTCTTAGATTCCAAGTGCACAATTGTGCTGGCTCTAATTTAAAACAAATCCTTTGTACCTCAACCAAATGATGGCCATAATTCAAAAAGAAAAGGGAAACAAATGGAAGTTATGGACAAAACGTTTTGCTCTTAAAATTTAAATAAAATATTCTCCTTTGTTTAGTTTTAGGATAACGCTAAAATTGCAGCACAAGAAACATTAACTAACATAACAATAATGCAAACAATTAAACCCTGCACTTAGCTTCCTTGACGAGACCTACATTCAACAATACACTACCCAATTCATCCCAAAAAAATCAACAAACATTCACAATTCACACTTACCCTACCTCCCAAATCCAATTCCACAACTCGCCCAACATTCAAATCCAATCATTTTATCGCAAGCCCAATTAGAGAGAGGAGAGTCTGCGTACGATTTACCCTAAAAGGTTCCCATTGCATCCTCCTATGAATAAAGAACACCCTATATCTCATAAGAACACTTGAATTTGACTTCCTGAATCCCAAGGATTCACTTATCCCACAGCTCTAATTTATCAAGATCCTTTATGCGCTCACCAAATGATGCCAATTAACTCTCCTTGTTACAATTTCAGTACAATCCTAGAACCGCAATCAAGAAACATTAACTAACAATGATTGTGCCCTAAAACGCCATAAAACACCAAATCCATCCCAAAAATTTTTTAAAAAAATGAAAAAAATCAATTGAATAGGAAAAAGAGAGCACCTTTCTTGGCCTGCGGTGTCCCAAATCTGGGCCTTGACGGCCTTGCGATCGATGGCGGCCTTGGAATCGACGCTGAATTCGTTCCTCGCGAACCTCGCCTGAGGACAAACCTTGAACACGTAATCGATCTTGTTGTTGAATTCTCCTCCGTGCGTGTCGGAGCCCTGAAACGATCCGATCACCCGCTGGAGAATTTTTAACTTGATGGACGTTGAAGTTTCATCGTCGTGTTTCTCCGTATTTAGGGCTTTTTTAAGGGGGTTTTCGCAATAAATTTTTTCCCCTTTTCTTTTCTTTTTATTTTATTTTTATTGTTGTGTTGAATTGAAGGAATCAAGAGGGCCTGAACGGAGAGGCGGCAGAAATGTAGAACAGAAGTGACGTGGCACGCAATAGCCGGGGAGCTAACGGCTTGTGTGGTCCCACAAAATGGCCCATCTTAGGGGCTGTTAGTTTCAAGTTTTTTTGGATAAGGGGTGGATTTGAAATTTTAGTATGAAAATGTGGTTTTTTTAAGAGTTTTTGGAATCCATAAACTTTGTTTCAAATAAAATTTTGGATTATTAAATTCTTAACTTGTCAAAAACCCTCTGGTACCAAACCCTGTCGTTCTTCATCTCAAATCAACATATTTTCGACCAAATCTTACCTGCCTCCTCCATTTCTGCTGTAACTTTGCTTTGCAAAAAGTTTTGGAGGTCAAACAGAGATTTGGGTGAAATTATTTTGGGGATTTTTGGTGATTCAGCGCAGATATAAATCTCGCACCTCCTCTCTCTAAATAGAAATTTTGATTGCTTTGATTTGTGTTAGGGTTTTCTAATTAGGATTTGGGTTGATTTTGATTGCTTCGATTCTGTGGCGGCTATCTATTGCATCGATTTGGGTTAGAAGTTTTCGCCAATTTAGAGTAGTTTTTTTCTGTTTCTGATTTTTATAGATTTTTTTAGGATTATTTGGTCTGGATTAACGATTATTTGAGAAATTAGGGTTATTTTTGAACAAGATGGTAGCTTTCTAATTTGTTCTATGCTTTCTTGTAGATTAGAACACTCTATCGGATGATAATAATGATCAGATTAGACTCCAAAGTAGATTCTTTTAGACGTGCAAAATAACAATGCATCTGTGTCTATAAACTTGTATATACAGAATGTGTGTCTATAACATACTCAGTTCATATATTTCCAACTTAATTTTCATGTTCAAGTTACTATATGCAAATTCATTGGTAGAAGAATGTGAATAGATAGTGAAAAATATTTTCGATAGATCTATGGGATACAAATTAGGGTTTTCTAATTATGATTTGGCTTGATTTCTTTTGCTTCGATTCCGATGTTATTTAATATCAACTATGTTGACATTTGATAATTCATACGCTTGATTTATTTATTGTCAATATCAATATACAATCAGTAGGTACAATTATTTTAGCTCCCTGATGTAATGGGGTTGAATTTACTAAACTATTTTAGGATAATGTTTTGCTCTTAATTTTTTAGAAATTGTAAGATTGGGTTCATCTATTTATGTATTTTTATAGGAAATTTCTTTTTAAAACAATGCAATTGCATTATATAGGTATTAAAAATGACTATTTTCTGAGCTTCTACTTTATCATTTGTCTTTGATTTTTTTTATCATTATTGTTGATGTCTGATATCACACAGCCGATGGAAGCTTTCCGCCGAGGGATGCAGTTCTGATCTTCGCACTGACGGCGAGAGGGAGAGGAAGAAAGGTGGGGCCGACTCCTCCTTCGACTTTATGCCCGATCCTTGGACTGAAATTCCTGATCTTTCTACGCAAACAAGAAGAAGAAACTCGTAAGAGGACGGGGACCGGTTCCCTCGTGGTACCTCCGACGGTCAACTCAGCTGATGAGTGGGTTTGAGGGAAGATCCGAGGATCATTGAGATCCTCGTCTTCATTATTCTTATTGAGTTTTTAAAAGAAAGCGTAGCTTTTTTAATTGTTTAGCGTTTTAGCCAAAAGAGTTCATAAGTCTTAAGAGAGTTAAAAGTCTTCTCCTTTTCCCCCTTTTTCTTACCTCCCTCACCTCCTTTTATAGTCCATCACCTCTGAGATTGACCTTAGGCTTTAACTATGCATAGGAGGGCGATTGCGGGATAAGCAGACAAGCTGCTGAGTCATCCTTCGCTTTACAGATGTCGGCTGGCGACTGGTAGGGAAATCATTCGAGCACAGGAGAGGACGTCTTGGAAATACCCCAGATTCGATAGATGAGACAGGACGGAGGATAGGCCGACTGTTTGGGACTCCTTCTCTTTGCAGATGGCAGCTGGCGACTGGATAGTAAGTCATTCGAGCACAGGAGAGTATCTTAGTGATCTCTGGAAAGTGACTTGTGGGCAGAGTGAGCTGTTTTCGCACGAGGTTTGTCAAAGTTGAGATCTTGATAGGATCGCTCAATGAACTGTGATGTTGATTGATATATATCTGAAGGTGGCTTACCTGGATCTCATCCCCTTAGTAAAGACGGGTCGATTTGTGAGTCGTCCATATGATTTGTCAATCAGTCAGTCGAGTGAGCTTCTGGTCAAGCAAATTGCCGAGAAGGTGGTCGAGTCGACTATTTGGGGAGTCGTCTCGACTTATAAGGGGTAGGCTAATCCCTCATTTCATGTCAGTAAAAGATGACTCGTCTCCTCGGCGTGTCAATAGACTTGCTCTTGGCTGGGCCTTTGGACCACTAAGTTGGTTTGGACCATAGCTTTTTTGGGCCTATGAAGACAATCTTTCGTCATCTTTATCTTTAAATGATAAATTACCATAACAGTTGGCCCCTTTCATTCGGAGCTGACTTAAGTCGGGTCCGAGTGAAATAGGTATAAGTTCGCTCAAGATGTTGAGGATTTTTAGCCAGTTGATCGTGGCTGGAGACGTGGTGTGATGTTGAGGATTTTTAGCCAGTTGATCATCGCTGGAGACGTGGTGTAGGACTTGCTAACTGTCCATCTCCTGTGCACTGATGTTGTCGGTATTAGGAACCACTTTTTTAGAGAAAACGAGGCGTCGTGGGTAGAGCGAATGGTACTTCACTTGCCAATTGATTGGCGTGCGTTACGAGTGGCGGTTGGTATTTCGAGTGATCCGTTTCTGGTTTTCGAAGTGGATCTTCCTTGGTTCCAAGATCGTGCCTCTTGAATCCTTCTGCTGTAGGCATATAAAATTGCTTGTAGGTCCCTTAACATGGCTCAACACGAACTAATGAGCCATCGGGCGGCGTATCTAAGCACCAACGTCAGTCCACAACACCGAAGCCAAGTGACACGCAACGAAGCGGATTAACAAGGCTACGAAGCTGACGAACCGCACGTGAGCGACGGAATGAATCCACTCGCATGCGGAATCAAACCAACGGTCCAGAGAGTCAACGAGTCATCCAACCATATAACGGATTCGAACTCAGACACCAAAACCGATTTACTGCCTAATCGGGATCCAGACTTCCAGATCAGGAATCAAGTCAACGAATCGATCAACCGCAACACCAAATCACAGACGAAGCAGATACAAGGACCGGAACAACCGAACGACGGACGAAAAAAGCCCGGAGTGGCTCGGCCAAGGCCGAGCCACCCTAGGGTGGCTCGGTG